GGGGCAGCCGTGTCTGTTCGCGGCACCAGGCGACGCACAGGTACATCCTCAGGTACATCGTGGGTCCCTGAGGAACTCCCGCTCACCTCGGGGAAACAGCTGTGCCCCTGTGAGCCGCGAGGGAGTGGGCACATAGCCTCGCAGTTTAAAAGGGGAACGACCGTGTAACCCAGACCACACACAGTGCTAAGCGACCAGGTCGCTGGGGATCCTCAGAGTGAGAGTTTCTATAAGATAATAACCCGTCAGAGCACCAGGATGCTTGGGGCTTGTCAAAACGCACTCACAACAGCATCTACTATACTTCTCAAAGCAACTCTATGGCATAGGTTGTATTCTTTCTTTCTCTCCCTCTCTTTTGGTTTTGGAGAGAATGGAGGGAGGGAGAGACAGACAGAGAGAGAGAGAGAGAGAGAGAGAGAGAGAGAGAGAAACATCGATGTGAGAGAAACACATCGATTGGTTACCTCGCACATGGGGATCGAGCTTGCAACCGAGGTACGTGCCCTCGACCGCAATGGAACCTGGGACCCCTCAGTCTGCGGGCTGACGCTCTATCCACTGAGCTGAACTGGCCAGGGCTATTATTCTCATGTTTCAAATAAGAAAATTATATTCAAAGGGATTAAGAGACTTGCCTCAAGTCAGCAAACTAGCAAACCGAGCGCTCTCTCCACCACGCAGCACGCGGGGATGCGCCTCTGCCTTTTGGTTGATAATCAGTGACTTTCAGAGGCAAACGGACATCGTGTCTGGGGTAAGGCCAACCCCGTCCTCCCGGCAGGCTCCCTGCTGCTGCCCCCAGACCTTCCACTGGGCAGCCAGCAGGTGCACATGGGCTTATCTCTGGTGCCAGGAGCAGAAGCGGCCAAGCTGATCACCAGGGATGGCCTGGAGGAGGGAGGCAGCCTCACCAGGCCGCGAGGAGGACAGGACGGAACTGGGCACGAGGGGGTGAAGGCCAGTGAGAGTGCCGGGAGGGCAGGGATGCCAGCACCCCCCACCCGCTGGCCCACGTCCCCCCCAGTGAGCATCTGGACGTCAGTCAGGGCTCCTTCAGGTTCCATCTGCGCTGAGGCTGCTGGGTGCCTCCCCCACCAGCTGTGCACACACGGCTGCGATGGAGCCTCACAGGAGGGGAGAGATGCGAATGTCCCCAGAGGCCTCTGGGGCGGCATCGGGAGCTCAGGAGCCCGAGGGGACCCGCACGCCGAGCCCCACCACAGAGCCCCCTGTCTCCCTGGGTGAGTCTAGCGTGGAAGTCTGGGTTCCCGCCTGGAGTCACTGACCGGCTTGCCTGTCTGTCTCCCCACTAAACGGTAAGGACAACACTGGTCTTATTCGATTAACAGGAGCATTTAATCAACACAAGTTGCATCAAATGGAACAAACTAGAACAGCTCTGTCTCCGACTGACTTTAGCCGCAGCTCCTTCTTCCCAGCGGGAGGGACGCTGCCTGGCCGCTGACCTCCCCGCACCAGCATTCACAGGGCCAGGCCAATCGCACGTGTCTGAGCCGCAGGGCACATCCCGTCCCCGTGAACATGAAGGGGCCTGTGACCACCTACAAACACCACTCGCTGGGCTGGGCACGCCCCATGCTTGGGAAATCTCCTCCACATTATTTTTCTGTCAAAACTTGACAAAATAGACCCTGAAGAAGTATTTCTGTCTGAGCTGACTGGCCGGTAAGTGTCTGCCAGACCAGAAGGGAGGTTTTCCCTGAGACGGCGAGAGAGCGAGGTGGTCCCCGGTCGGGGCAAGGAGGGCAGACGGTTTGAAGGACGTAGGAGTGTGTGCCTTCAGAACGCGTGTGCTTCCTGCTGATCATGGCTGACTCCACTCAGGATCAGGCAGGCAGGCAGCAGCAACAGGCGTTGGGGCATCTCATGTTTAAGAATCCCTGGGGTGTCGTTTTTCTCATCTAGATGTGGTAACTGCCCCGTTATGGGACTGACCTGCCCCTGGACACTCCTGAGAGGTTAATGCAGAGCCGGGACCGCTCCCTGCAGACAAGGGCCCGGTGGCCCCGAAGACCCCACTTGAGGGCCCGGTGCTCCCTGTGCAACCCAGACAGCAGGTCGCTGCACGACAAGCCAGCCCGGCCAGATGGGCACGTGGGCTCTCCCGTGGAGGCCGTGGTTTGGGTGGGAGGGGCTGTGCCTGGGTGGGAGGGGCTGTGCCTGGGTGGGAAGGTCAGCACAGCGGAGCCTGGGCCTGGGGCAGAGGAGACTCACTGGGAGGCGACGAACAAATGTCACTCTAACAACGTGTCCCAACACTGACCCAGCTCCCATGTAGTTTCTGGGCACTTGTTAGAAATAC